TCCTGAACACCTGAACTCCTGAACACCTGAACTCCTGAACACCTGAATGAACTCCATTGAGCTCTGTGTACACAGCTTTTGAGCTGCTTGCTGTGTAGCCTACTGTTTCTTTGCAGCAGGTTTTTTCTTGGCTGCCTGCTTGGCTTTCTTGGCTGCCACCTTCATAATAAATTGATAAAAAAGTTGACAACAAGTTGATAAGAGTTGATAACAAAAGTTGATAAAAGTTGATAAAAGTTGATAATAAGTTGATAAAAGTTGATAAAGTTGATAAAAACACATGATAAGCAAATAAAAGCACTGAGTAGTCAGAAAGTAGCACGGCCGAGCAATTGGACAACCAGCTAACTAAACAATTTGGAAATGAAAATGCCAATCAAAGGTTACCAAATTATACTGAAGTGCTGGTCAAAGGAGCAACATTGTTGAACAATGGTCAACATAGCTCTCAATTTAGCAGTTTAGAAACAAAATGCTGGTTTGCAGTCACTCTTTGTGAGAAGCCATGGCATAGAACCCCGTGGCCAGTGGAGGTTCAACTTGTTAATTTGTCCAAAATCTCATTCTACCACTTGATCAGCACATGCTTTGTTCAATGCAACTGGTGTTACACGAGCACCAAAGAAAAACTATTGACAACACAAATGGCTTCTTCTAGCCAAGTTCCACCCCAAAGAAACTCAAATGGTGTGCTGAGGATCTTGGCATGTGTTGTGGTGGAAAATGAGGATACCAAAACAATGTTAAAGACAATTCTTTCCACTCTGCCATAGGCTCCTGTGCATCCTGGCACAAAGCCAGACTGCAGCAAATTGGGTAAACTATGTACACTGGCCTCTCACTCTGATGACCAAAATGGCACCTCAGAAGACAAAGGTATGATTGTGCACAGTGTGCTTTCAGTTGGGGGGGTGGACAGTTTAGTTGATAAAAAGTTGATAAAAAGTTGATAAAAGTTGATAAAAAAGTTGATAAAAGTTGATAAAAAGTTGATAAAAGTTGATAAAAAGTTGATAAACAGTTGGTAAAAGTTGATAACAATATGATAAAACAATGAAACATATAACTAGTTGATAAACATTTGATAAACCAGTTGATAAACAGTTAAAGAACAGTTGATAACAGTTCACAAAAATGATAACAAGTTGACAAAACAATAAAAAGTTGATAAAACATATATACATATATATATATAACTTGATGAACAATAATAAAACAATGATTCAACATATACTAAAAAATTGAATATTGATAAAAAGTTGATAAAACATTGACATAAGTTGATTAAACAAATGATAAAGTTGATAAAAAGTTGATAAAACAAGCTGATAAAAGTTGATTAAAAAAGGTTAAACCGTTGATATTAAAGATATTAAAACGTTTATATGTAAGTTGAAAAAACCAGTTGATGAGAGTTGAACAAGTTGATAAATATGAAAGAGTGTGTACCTCAGTTTCTTAAACTGTTCAAATTCATGTGACTTTCTAGTTTTTGCAATCAAATGAACTAGCAGTTGAGAGATAGAACATGTCACACAAGATTTGGGGGCTGACTCAAACCCAAAAAAACATTTGAGAAACAATTACTTTTATAGGGCTGGTAGCATCACCAAGTCAGAAACAAACATGAATTACTCTAGGTTGCAGCACATGTAAGCTTTGATGTTGCAAAACATCATAGGGTAGAAACAAGTAGTTACATACTAGTGGAAATTGCTCTAAGTTTGTAAAGCTGCCTTTCAGTATGCATTACACCAGTCCACAGCCCCTATCCAATGCAGCAACCCAGGCCACCCCCCCTCCCAACTCACTCTTTGCCACAGAGCTCTGTCCAAATTTCAGTGAGACAGGTGAACAGCAGTCAGGATGCTTTTGAACACCTGAACTCCTGAACACCTGAACTCCTGAACTCCTGAACACCTCAACAAACTCCATTGAGCTCTGTGTACACAGCTTTTGAGCTGCTTGCTGTGTAGCCTACTGTTTCTTTGCAGCAGGTTTTTTCTTGGCTGCCTGCTTGGCTTTCTTGGCAGCCACCTTCATGCTACCCGGCTCATGTTTTGCAGCAGGGCGCTTCCGGGGAGCTGCCTCCTCTTCGCTCTTGTGCCCATCACTCTTCACAGCAGCTGCATCTGCATCAGCCTCAGGCACATCCAAAGCTAGCTTTTTTTCCACCTTGGCAATCTTGCTCTTCTCCTTGTCAGTTGGTTGGCCAGCCACTGTCACAGCACTGAACTGCAAAGCTGCTTGCTGGTGTGGCACCACTCGCACATTTGAGCTCATGGCAAGGCAGATTTTCAGGAAATATGGGGTCCTAAACCTATGCAAAGAGCAGCTGAACATACAGTGTGCAAAGGTGCCTGTTCATTGTTTGAGGCAAGCAGTCTCAAGGACATTCAGTCAGCTTTGAGTACAAGCCAACACTTCCCAGTCAAATTGAAGTCACTAATGCAAACTGTTTTGCCTCTGCCAAATTGTTGTATTGGGGGTTCCAATGCTTGTTCAACCTGAACACCTGAACACCTGAACTCCTGAACTCCTGAACACCTGAACACCTAAACACCGGAACCCCCCAGTGAACTCATTGATATTGGCCACACAATGCCCTGCGCAGCTCTTAGCCTTAGCTGCTGCAGTGAGCTTGCAAAATTGTGATGGCAAACCTGCCTGCTCTCACAACTTGTAGTACTTGTCTTTCTCGATGTTGAAGCTGTGTGCCGGGAAAACAGCTGGAATGCCTTGCTTCAAGGTCTGGTGCTCGGCTTCCTGACATGTCAGAGAGCTGATCAAGTGCATTTTACTGCCTCAAAGTTCATTGTTGAATTTATTAGCAGCCAAGTTGCATATTTCAAGTTCTGAACAGCCTCAATGTGACTGTGCTTGGAGAGCTCCACATAGGTGGACAAAACATTGGGCTCAATGGGCTTGTTGGGGGCCACAGGCTTGGTATTGATCTCCAAGACAAAGCAAATGCTTTCAGTGGCCTTCACCTCTGAATCAGTGCACTTGTGCTTGAAGATTTGGCCAACGGGTTGGCGGAGGCTAGAAAAGGCTTCAAGCACAGCCCCCAATGGGGTGGGCTGTTGTGGAATTTCCAATGCAGAACCAATCTGTTGCACAAGGACCTTGGTGCTTTTGGTCATAGCTGAATCAATGAATTGCGCCCCTGCTTTCTTCATTTCAGCATCTGCCTGGGAGCCTGCTCTGAAAGATCCTTTGCAATAGAACCAAGGCTTTTCATCAGGACCAACTGCTGAATCCTTGGCGCAATGCAAATAAAGGCTTGCTTCCTTGGGGTCCAGAAACAACTGAAAGGCACCATCTGCACCCTGCACTCCTGTAGGGATCAAGCCATCTGGAGGCGAAACTGCTTCCACCACCACTTTGGGACCACACTCAGGCTCCCCCTCGGCCTTGCGTTTTTCACCTTGACCTTGGTCAGGGTTCCATGGCTGCCCTGAAGGATTGAACTCATCATTGTGAATCTTGACCAGCTTTGGGAAAGTCAGCAACTCTGCAGGATTCTCTGGGTCAGGCATGCTGACCTGCAACGACTCCCCTTCCGTGACCACCTTTTGGAGCAAGGGAAGCTGCAGATTCGATCTTGGGTAAGTCAGCTTGAAGTCATCAGGGTTGTACTTGGGTGCCGGATCTGCAGCATCTGATTTCACCACCTCTGGGATCGCTACAGTGCTGGGCATGCGGTAGTTCTTGCTGCGGATCTTCACCTTGACCACTGAAGCCAGGTCCTCTTTCACATTCTCTGCAATGACATTCCTGCCAGCTCAAAACATAAGAAATGCAATGTGAGTCGACTTCAATGCTGTTATTATTGCGCATATTTCCTTCAAACAAAAATAATATCAAATTAAAACCTGAACTTCCAGTCCTGATCACACCCTTCTCATGTGCCCAAGACACACCAACAAAGGCTAGGCGAGGGACTTCTTTGTTGCTCCCGCAGTTCAGCTCCACACACCCTTTGCCAGGCTCGGAGTCATACATCAGCATGTCGGCCACCAGCAGGAAATCATCCTTCTGGAGAATGGACCCCTTGCACAGCTCAGTGATTGAACTACAGAACACCTGAACTCCTGAAAACCACTGTGCTGTGTCCTGTCCATGGGCCACTTTGCCCTGGTCAAACCCCAGTGGGGCTTTCCAGTTCTGAAAATCTTTCCTTTCCATCGCATTGAGGAGGAAGGGGAAGGCACCTCTCTTGAGAAGGCTGCTGTTGCCAAAGACATTGTTGTAGGAGCGGGTGCTTTTGCTCACATCCCTGGTCGACTCTGCAAGGACAAGCCATACCTCAAAACCCAACTCTCTGTCGGAGGAGTAAAAGGTCTCTGAGTTCCACAGTGCATTGACTTTGCGCACAGAAAGACGGTGGGATGGATCGTTGAGCTGCTGCCACAAATTGTTCACGTGGTCCTCGATGCTGGCAATTCGTTCATCTCCAGCAGAGTCTCCCTTGCCATACACTGGCTGGCAGGGTGGAATGACAACATGGATGACTGTCTTTGGATTCTCACTGCATGACACTGCAATGGTGCTTGCCACTGCTGGGATCAGTTTGCTGGCTCTTGCTCCAGCCTTTGGAAAGTTCCATTCAAAAAATACATGGGATGCCACTTGCATCCTTCAGCTGCTCGTCAGCAATCATGGCCTTTGCTTGATTGACCAGGAGTATTGCACCAGCAACATCTGCACAGCTGAACACCTGAATGAACTTTGTGCTCTGCTCCTGCCATGCCTCCTCCAAGGCCTCCTGTTGTCGAGATACTTGGCGGTTGAAGGAACCCATGGAGCTGTCCTCATGCGCCTTGACCTTTGCCATGTGGGCTCGCCAGGCTTTCTGTTCTTGCCCCAGTTGCTTGTGCAAGCGTTGGAGGGATTCCTGCTTCTCTGAACTGCCTAAACTCAAGAAGTTCAGTCCAGACAAGGCATCCTGTTGCTCCAGCAAGACGAACTGGAAGTCGCGCGGTTGGAAGTCCTTTCTCTTGGCGAGGACTGCTGGCAAAATCTGTGTGTCCAGCTTGCCAGCCAGCCAATCTGATTTGACTTGGTCAAATCTGTCTGGCTTCAGAGCTTTTTGGAAATGGTCATCAAAGTAACACATGGCTTGTGCCATGTACCACACATTCAACTCTTTGCCGCTGTCACGCATGTCGGCGGCCACTGCACCATTCTTGTAGCTCAACGCCTGGCCAGCTTTCAGGGCTTGCTGCATGCGGTGATCCCATTTTCCTGAAACACGCTGAGCCCAAGTAGTGACTTTGTCCCAGCTGTGCTCATGGATGGCATGCCACAGGGGGTTATCCTCCTTCTTCCTTGGAAGTTGCAACATCAGGAACAAACAAGATCTGAATCCATCAAAAAGATCCAGGCCAATGCATTCTTGTGAAGCCAAGTCTCACTGGATTGGGGAAAGTCGGCTGCAGGAAGTCTTTGTTCAAGAGCGAGAGGGGAAAGGCAGTGTCCTGCGGCTGGTCAGCCATGTGAGCCTTGGCAATGATCTTCTGAAAACCTGGACCAGCTGAATCTAGCAAAAGGATCGCTGTCATCTCATTGCTGTGGATCTTGGCTTTAGTGACACTCAACTTGTTCTGCTCCACCATGATGCTGCGGAGATGCGCATCTCGAGTCCTCAGGCACACAAGTGAAGAACAACTGAAACTCCTGGACTCCTCAACTCCTGGACTCCTGAAAGCAGCCAAAACTTGTGATAAACAGCTGAGACCAAGGCCCTCTGGCTGGTGGTCTCTTGGCCAGAATTCTTTGGTAGACACTGTAGTGCTGGAACAAAGAAGGTTGGACGCGCGTCAAAGCCTCCCGCTTCTGGGCAAATGCATTCAGCATTGCCTGATCATGATTGGTGGCAGTAACAGCTGTGCAGTGAATCACCAAGCAACTCAGCAACCTTGTAGCCACCTCGCGCTCGAGCTTTAGGTCGCCCTTCACTGCGTCAATAATCTTGAGCTTGCAAGCATAGATGCACAGCAAGAATGATGACATGATGGTCGAGCTGCCAATGAACATGGCGATGCTGAACGCCGGAATCACTGAACCTGGCTTCACTGGATGCTGGTTGAGCTTGCAAACATAGTCAAAGAGGATCTCCAGGGGGTATTTGTTGGTTTGGTTGCCCTTCTGATTGGTCATGAACTTCTGGATGTTGTCCCTCCTAAGCTGAACCAATCCTGGAATCTTGCTGAACAAGCTAGCAACATGGATATTGACATGCCCATGCTTGGCCAAACATGCATGCAACCCAAGGCTCACAGCATAAGACTGAACTGGCCCCTTCAGCTGTGAGTCCTCCAAGAAGCCAAAGTTGTGCAACCTGATTTTGAAGCGGACTGGCACATCATTGTGGACCAGAACTTCTGGAACATCAGAAGTGATTGTTCCATTGTCTGGGGCTGCCAAAATCTTTCGGCATTCTGACTCCAGATTGGAAAAATCTGTCATCAGTTGGTTCTTGGCAGTTGTGTTTGGAAAAGTTCTCTCCATCCACTCATGCACTGAAGCAAGACTGCTGTCACTCATGTCAGCTTGCAGCTGTGCAAAGATCTTGCCATACCACTGATTCAACTTCTCCTGGCTTTGGCATGATTGGGCGTGGCAAGCAACAAGAAACACATAAGCCAGCAAATTCAAAAACATAAATGTGCCTCAGTGGAAAGAGCCATTCCACAAGGCTCTGCACTGAACACCTGAACTCCTACAAACTCCTGGAGCCAAGGCTTGGAAGGACATGCTCTGTTGCTGCTTGATTGTTTCTCAACAGCATTGCTCAATTGCAACCCTGCAAATCTAGGGAGGGGTCTCCTCTAAAACATATTTACTGTTTTTATTTTGAACTGTTTTTTACCTAATAATAGGAGACCCCTAGCTTAAGCAACCTATGTTGCACAAAAAAATCATTGTAGGCTCAAACGTTTCACAGCTTGTACGCAAGTCTCGATTCTTTGCTGCAGTTCGTGGCTCAGTAAGTCTCCCATCAGCACTCCCTTCTAGTGCTGAACCCCTGAAATGCTGAACACCTGAACTCCTGGGCTAAGCTACCCTTGCACACATATGCCAGGTTGTGTCTGGCAAAAAAGGGAAATGAATGTTGGTGCCAGGTGGCTGTTCCCTAACTACACCATATCTTGCCCTATGTGGGTGGGCAAGAAACTGAAACTGAACACTCTCATAGTGTCTCTCATGCACAAATTTGTGAAGCGCATCCGCAGCTTCTGGCATGTCAAACTTGGTTTTGCACAACTGAGCTAATTTGATGTAGCTCTGGATCTCACTCTCAGACATTTCTTTCTTGCCAATGAGCTGGCCAGGCTGGCTTTCTCGAATGGCAGTATGTCGTCCAGGTGGTGAAAGGTAAACAGGCGGCTGCAACAAGCAAGTGTCACGGACAAAGCCTTTGACGCAACAGTAGACTGCCTCATCCTCTTTTGGCTCCTCAAGCATCACTGCATACTTTCTTGGCAGATTCTTGCCCTTCATGCACATGAAGCAATGAGGGGTGGGAATGCCAGCACGAGGCTTGAAGCAGTTCCAAATATCCTTAGCGCCACACAAAATTCAAACCATGTTGCGCCACAAAGGAAGCAGCTTCACAGCCAACTAAGGGCAAATCAACTCCCAGTGGGTCCAACCAAGCACTGAAGTCATGAACTCCTTGAATCATGTTTGTCATCAGCACCTCCTTCCGGGCAGCGACCCTTGGTTCCAGTTTTGCCTTGATGTGATCAAGCATGGCATCTGGAGTCTGCCACTTGCGAAGGCCAATCAGTATAGCCTGCAACAGCTTTTGCAAGCAAACCAGAGCAATTCGGCTGTGGCTATGAAGTTAAATTGTGAGTTGCCAAATCAGTGCAGCATACAAACCCAGTCAGTCCTTGATCACACCAAACAACTGGTCAACATCCTGGCAGGATGCAAAAGGCTGAGAGAAGCTGTGGCCAATGTATGGATTTGAGCAGTGGCCTCATGTGTATGTCCCACCATAAGGTGGAACATAGTGATGGAGGTGAAGTACTCTTTGGCAGTGAGGTAAATCAAAGGTCTCATGGCCAGCTGGTTGTGACACTGTGCTGGGGTGTTGTCAGCCACAAGAACTAAATGAGGTGGCACTCTCCGGCCATCCCTCTCAGCTATCTTCCACACCATGTCCAGGACACGGCAAACCACCTCACACCAGTGATCCTCAGCTTTGGGCTGCTTCAAGCTTTTCTTGGAAACCAAATAAGAAAAATTGATAGACACCAGATTGCTCTTTTACCTAGCAAGGCTCAGCTCCATGGTTTTCGAGCTCTGATGTGCCGAACAAGAAGGTCCCCCATCCGTGGCATAGTGCAGCTGTGATCACAAGCTTTGGGCGGGCAATGTTGTCAAGCTCTTTGGAAGGCTTGTCTTGGCCTAAATGGGGCCATGCTGTCCCCCACTTACCCATGCCATCAATAATCACAGTCAGCACTTCCTGGTCGTGCACTGAAGAGAATCGTAAACCCCAATAAAGTGTACGGTCTAAGTACTGGTGTCGTTGATGCTCTCGAAGACTGCGGGCAGCTCGAATCTTGGCTGGAGTGGCCCAGAAATGATTTATTTGCCACATCAACATTAACAATAAGTGAATAAATAAAACCGACAAAATATTTACCAGCTGATTTGGCCTAGGCACCTTGGTGCTCCAATCAGCTTTTGGGCTCCTGAGCACAGAATGAAAGTCAAAGCAGGTTTTGCATTGACCATGCTGAGAAATCTTTCTCATGACCAGCACATAGCGCCAGTGGCTGTAATAGCGCTTCGCAAATGTCTGGAAAGCAGGGCACTCACCATCTCCTGGATTTCTCTCAACATGAATGTCCCATTCAGCTGTAAACTGCCAGTATAGATCAATCAACCTTTGATGTTGAATGTATCTTATAGGCAAGCCCAAGGTGCCACAGTGAGCCTTCTCTGCTGCTTGAACATCTGCTGGAGGCATGCTGAGCCAGTCATAGCTCCAATGCTCCCATGCATCAATGCTGGTCATGTCTCTCTTCTGAACCCCTGAACTCCTGGACACCTGAACTCCTGAATGACTGCCCAGTTGTTTTGCCTTGGGGTACATTTGGGCCTCCTCTGGCATTGGCTCAGCAGCTGACGCATGGAGTGTCCGGAAAAAATGGTCACATTTGGCAGTCTGCACTGCCGCCCGGGATTGGCTACCAAAGCCCGACTTAGACAATCTCAAATCTGGCTGCCCACTGATCAGCCTGCGGACTGTTCTTTGACTACTTCCAAGAATCTCACAAAACCTCTGAAAGCAAATTGCATAGCCACACATGTGCCACTCCACTGTCTCCTTCACTGCTTCAGCATCTCTGGCAATCACGCTATTGTCTTGGTAGTAGTTGCAACGCAGGAGATGGCTTCTGTCAGGAAGTGGCAGCTTGACCCACTTCTCCATGAAACTGCAAACTTCTTGATGTGAAATTACACCTGCTTTGCATCCTGGGCGTGCACAGTGCTTCCGCTTGCAGTTAGATGAGAGAACACAACCTAGTCGCTTTGGGCATGCTCCATTTGTGTCATACTGGCTGGCCTCTTTTGCAATTGGTGCCAAATCCGAAGCAAGCCTAAGAGCAGCATCCAAATGGATCTGAGAGTTATGGGTGGTGAGCTTGCTCCCTGGATTGCTAGCCCATGGATTCTCCACCAACATGCTGTCACCATCAGCTGGAACGTCATCCTCAGCAACAAACCGCCATGGATCTTCACTCTGGTTCTGGTGAGTCTCATGAGCCCAGGGGTCCTCTTCCTCCCCATTCCAGGAATCATTCCACGGGTCTGGCTCAGGCACTTCTGCTTTTCTCTTTCGGCTCCTCTTTGGAGCCATGGAAAGTGCAAAAATCTGCCAAAATACTTTCTCAACACTTGAGCCAGGCAGTCATGACTAACATGTGTTGCACATGGACAAGGCTTCAAACTGCATTCCATGCTTTGCCCCACAATGTTCACAGTCTTGAAGTCTTTATGCTTCTCTCGCAAGACACTTGTACACTATCAAGGGCAAGAGCTGCTAGAACTCCTGAACTCCTGAACACCTGATCAAGCCCATGGGTCAGCTTCTGTGACAGTGTCATTAGCAGCCCAAGGATCAAAAACTTGTGCAGGAGCTGTGGCAACCTCGCACTCCCAAGGGTCACCGGATGACCATGGGTCCACCTCCTCTGTCTTCTGGCTTTGCTTCAGCTTCTTTTTAGAGGTTGTGCTGGCAGGGCCTCCCCAAGGATCATCTTCCACTGCATGCTGCTTTTTGATGGGGACTTGCGGCTTCCAAGTTGACATTTGCATCCATGCTGCCACAATTGCCTGGCCAAGAGCAGGTGGATAAAGGCCAGACTGCTGTAAAAGGTTCTGTCTCCCATCAGTTTTCAGCTTTCCATCATCAGTCATTCTTTTCAGCATCAAAGGCTCATGCTGCCTGCTGCATGAGCATTTTCGGACAGATGCCTCCAGCCACCCACCAGAACACATGAATTTGTACTTCTTGAGCATCTTTTGGCCAGGAGTGTTGTCATAAGCGCACCGGTCAAGCAAGTGGTAATGCACAACAGATAGGCTCGTCAAAATTCCTGACCAAGGTTGGTGTGTCAGGATTTTGCAAATTGAATAATAAGAGAAGTGATTGTCATCAGTCTTGGTTGGCTGAGCCCCTGGCTGATGTGCTCATCTAGGAAGGTGAAGATCATAGATCCAGCTGGATTCTCTATAGAAGCTTCGGCGTCACGAAGCAGTGCCAGGCAGAACAGAAAGACTGAAAGCCTGGCCATGAAATTGCCTAAGTTGGTGCAGCTGGCAGATGGTGCATGCCACTGACCCTTGCAAACTCTGACAGTGAGGACTATGAAGCCAAAACATGCATGCCAAGTTGCCATCACACACAGCTTCCCAAGCAACATTGCCCTCTGGATTTTTCGTGGTCCTTTGGTTCTGGTTCCTACATGCAAAGCCAAATGTTTTGCATTCTGGCGCCATGTGCGCCAGGCCACCAGGCTTCAATCGCATCACCAATCTTACAACTGACCAGAATCCACTCCTTGCACAAACGCTATCCTGGCCATGAGTCAAGTCATATGCTTCTGCACAAAACCCCTTCTCTCTGGCAGCGTGGACAATAGATTTTGCTTCTGAAAAAATCTCCACAACATCCAAATCTCTCTGGCCACAGGAAAGTGCAGGATCTTCCACCACAGATGCCAGAGTAGCACCAAAAAAGGCAAGCTTTAGTGACAGCAAAAGGCATTGCTTTTGTGATGGTGTCAGCGGCATGCTGAGGCTGGGGCTTCTCAGCCTTCAACTTCAACTACTGAACACCTGAAGTCCTGAACCACTAAGACCCTGCAGCTCGAAAGGTGCTCAAACTGAGGCAATGCATTGCAGGAACCTAAAGGTGCTCAAACTGGCTTGGCAGCAGGTGGCATATTTTCAATTCTGAGGCTGGTGCACATTTGTCAGTGGAACCTCCAACTCCTGAACACCTGAACGCCTGAACTGAATTAGTCTGCCCTGGCTCAAAGCAAGAGGCATTTGAATTACCAATTATCATCATGACATACAAGGTAAGGCATCACTGACCACGACTTCTGCTCCTGGACCTCGATTTTCCCTGGCCCATGCAATGCAAATTCACAAACAATAATGTAAATTGTGTGTTTTCAAAGTGTCTTTCTGGTGCCTTTTTCGAGCTCGATGTGGCTGATCTTGTCTGACACTTCTCCTGGACAAAGAGGTCCTGGAGAATGAAGCGCAACTTTGCTTCTAATGCCTCCAAGTTCAGTACAAACAGGCCTGCTCAGGCTTGTTGAGCTTGGATGCAAACTCTGGGTAAAGTGTGGCCAGCTGCCATCGGCGCATGTGGACTGCACCAATGATTGGTGTCCCTGGACTCAAGTTCTGCTCTAACTGGGAGTCTAGACTTGCTTCAAACTCTTCCCACGAAGCCATGGCAAACGTAGCTGTGCCTTGAGGGAGTCCACACTGTGAGGGTGATGACAGCT